CAGAAAGGAAGAAGAGAAGAGTGCAGCACCAAAGAAAGAGCTAGGAAGGAATAGAAAAGGAGAAGAAAAGAGAGAAAAGGAGAGTAAAGAAGAAGAAAGGTGTTCAGCTTTAAAGAAATACTCAAAGGTTGATGGTAAGGAGAAATCACTTACAGACTCCAAAGGTGTCACTGAGGAAAAGGCTCCTCTAGCACCAGAGACAGAGCCTAAACAGATCCCAGAAAACAGCTCCTCAAAACCCGTGGATAGCCTCCCAAGCCAGACCAAGGAAGAGGAAGAAGCAGCTTCCAGTATCTTTGATGAGCCCTTAGAAAGAGTGAAGAATAATGATCCAGAGATGACAGAAGTCAATGTCAATAACTCCGACTGCATCACCGGTGAAATCCTGGTGCGCTTCACAGAGGCCTTGGAATTTAACACCATAGTCAAAGTGTTTTCACTGGCCAATACCCGTGCTGATGACCATGTCGCATTTGCCATCGCCATTATGTTGAAGTCAAACAAGACACTAACCAGCATCAATCTGGACTCTAACCACATCACAGGTAAAGGGATCCTGGCCATCTTCCGTGCGCTGCTGCAGAACAACACCCTGACAGAGCTGCGTTTCCATAACCAGAGACACATCTGCGGGGGGAAGACAGAGATGGAGATAGCCAAGCTACTGAAGGAGAATACCACCCTCCTGAAGCTGGGCTATCATTTTGAACTGGCAGGTCCCCGCATGACAGCCACAAACCTGCTGAGTAGGAACATGGACAAGCAGAGGCAGAAACGCCTGCAGGAACAGAAGCAGGTTCAGGAACGTAGCGAGAAGAAAGAACTGCTAGAGGTGCCAAAGGCAGGCGGCTTGCAAAAGGGGTCCCCCAAGCCTTCGCCACAGTCATCCCCAAAATCTTCCCCGTGGTCTTCCCCTAAAAGTTCTCCTAAGAAGGGTGGGCCTCCTGCTGCACCTCCCCCACCCCCACCTCCACTAGCCCCACCCCTGATCAATGAAAATATAAGGAATTCTCTCTCTCCAGCCACCCAGAGGAAGATGGTGGAGAAGGCACTTCCTGCTCAGGAGAAGAACTCAAGGGACCAGCTATTGGCGGCCATTCGATCCAGCAATGTCAAACAGCTAAAGAAGGCAAGTGAGGGGCCAAGGAGCTGGGATCTCCACAGAACATTACCAGGTTCATTGGGTGACCCAAGATTTCAGGTCTAGCTTTAGGTTCCTTTCCTCCCACACCCCCACCCACCCCAGCGTTTGAGTCCAAGCACATTTGGACACCACATTCATGTCACCTGAGTACTGAATAAGGGAGGCCTAACCTGCTTTGGAGAGCCTCTGTGTGCTAGCCAATCAGAACCAACCTCTGGAATGGAATTCTGGCACGTTAGTCAGTTCCCTAGATCCTCTCGCCGTTTGCCTCGGCAAAGCCCGGTAACCCCAAAGCAACTGGCTGAAGGCTCCTGAGCAGTTTTCCTATATTCTTTCCAGCAGCCAAATTCTGATCCCACCCCATTTAAGTCAATGGCCAGTTGCTGGGGGACCAAGATTTGGCTTCAGATGAGCTCAATAGCCTGAAAATTCCTGTGAGTCACCAGCCGACAGTGGGTGAGCCCAGATTCCCCAGGCCCACGGGCACTTAGTTTCTGGGGCGTTTCTACACTCTGAGGTTGAGGATTTTTTACAATGTCTCCCTCAATAATCCAGCCACAGATAACTGGGCATGTGCTCAGTGTAGTACCCAGAGGCATGTGCCATGGGACCCAGCTGAGCCAGGTGTTAGTGAGGTGAACATCTGTCTTTTTCGCCATCTCAGCCCAGTGCCGGTGTCTGAGCTCAGGTGATACACCACAGGCTCTGTCTGGCTCAGTGTGAGACAGAGATCTCCTGTTAGAGTCAAGTGTGAAGGCTGGTGACTCAGGTGAATAGTAACGAGGTGCCCTGTCTCTCAGCAGTGGCTTGGGGAATTGCAGGCCCCACCTGAGTTGCCCATATTGCAACTGGTTTTCTGGCATCAGTGAGAGGCACAGACTGAACGGCCCATGGAGACTGAATTCCCCTCGACCCTCTCGAGCTGGGACAGGGAAAAGAGCCCTGAGCTGCCGCTGCTGCCTGCCCACTGGAGAGAGAGTCACTCCCCATGGCTACTAATGCAACACCTGGCTCACACTCAATTCATTTAAAAATAAACAAGCCCAACCCATTCCAGTAACCCCCTGGTTCCAGTCCTGTGCCGAAGGGTAACCAACCCTTTTATCTTGGCAGGTGGAGGTCCCAAAACTATTGCAATAGGACATGGAAGCTGGATCTCCCGCATGGATGAGACCTGTGGCAGAAAATAGGACGTTAGCCTTTCTTATGACTGTTTACATGACCAGTCCTTGGGGACTCTGCAGTGGCCACCTGCCTGCCCCAGAGCTGGAGGAGCAGTGTTCTCTGTGGGGTCCAACTGAGGGGGGCAGCCCTGAGAAGGGCCCTGGGGTCATTGGATGCAGTGTGTGCGGCAGACCTGGTATTCATTTTTACAATTTTAAAAATCTTAAAGCTCTTTCTTTTAGCCAGCACCAGCGTGCGACGTGCCAGTGCAAGATGGGGGCAGGGTTGCAGGAATGGGGAGAGGGTGTTTGTTCCTGTTGCCGCTGACAGAGTTTGGAGCATGAGTAGTTACCAAGTGCAGCAGATGCAGGATGGATGTCCCTAAATGTCTGGGTCCACATCTCCAGAACCGCGTGGCTCTGCCAATACAGAACACCACACAGACAGCAACCGGCACCCCAAAGAGCCTTGCTTTGCTCTCAGCTTGGAGTCTGTCGGGCAGAACTGGCAGCGGGACATTGTCTAGAGTGACGCAGAGCCAAACTCAGGAGAATGCTTGGGGCAGAAATGAATTGACATTCCTCTCTGCGGGTTCAGGATCTCCAGTGCCCTGAAAAGGAAAAGGGAGCGTACGGTGCAAGGGGAGAGACGCTGACTGCCACAGACAGTTAGTATTGGCTGAATGTGTTGCAGGGGGCTGGGGAGATACACCTGATGCTGATATTTTGTGCAAAGAAATAACTGAAATTTGCAGAGGGCTGGCCCAGAGATGTCACCTCCCCCCAGTATCTTCAGGGCTCAGTGCAGCCACTGTCTAGTGCCATGCTTTACATGACTGATCCTGCTGTCACTGTGCTGCTGCCCTTAGTGCTGGACACACATGGTGGGGACTGGCAAGCAGAAAGCAGGGTTTTTGCTGAGAGAACACTGCTCCTGGTTTTCAGACCCAGCTGTCCACGAGGGAGGCACTGGGAAGGATGTGCTTGGCCTGCAGGCTGTAGCCTAGCATGCCCAGAGCCCTCTGCACCTGAGGAGCGGGGGGAGGGTCTGTGTCAGAGGAGCAGAGGGGGGCTGCGCCTAAGGAGCTGGGGAGGTCTGCGTCGGTGTAGCAGGGAGGGTCTAGGGAATCACACCCTGGGGTCTGCTCTTGTGTGCCCCATGCCTGCCTGTCCACGCCCATTCTCTGGGCTCATCGCTTTGCGTGCCTTTAAATCCCCTTTGGCTGCATGCTGCGTCATTTTCACAGTAGACCAGGTACCCTAAGCCACCATTGTTGGGGAGAGGGGGCCCTGACTCTGAGAACTGCTCTCTGGGGAGGGGGCAATTCCCTCCTGAGCTGTTCTTGCCAAAGCACAGGGCAGGGCCCCAGTGGAGCGCTGTCCCAGGCCCAGGCTGTTCTCAGAGCCCCGTCAGATGGCCAGCGATGAGAAAGCAGGGGGCTGTTGACGTGCTGCTGATCCGTGGCCCTCCTGAGCCTGGGTGAGATGAACTGAGGGGCGATAACACATCAGCATGAGGGGAACCTCCCACTGCTCAATGTCACAAGGTAGCACCTGACTCCACAGGCACCAGCTTCTTCCTTGCCCTGGGGGGTGCTCAACCCCTGCTCCGCCCCAGGCCCTGGCCCCACTCCACCCCTTCCCTCACCCCATCTCTTCCCGCCCAGTTCTGCCCCCACCCCCAAGTACGCCCTGTCCCCAATCCTCCCACTCCCCTCAGCACCTTCTGCACACCGCGGAACAGCTGATTGCAGTGGGCGGGAGGCGCTAGGAGGAAGGGGGAGGAGTTGATCGGCAGGGCAGCAGGTGGGCGGGAGGTGCTGGGTGGGGGGAGGAACTGGTTGCTGGTGGGTGCTAAGCACCCACTAATTTTTTTCCATGGGTGCTCCTGCCCTGGAGTCTCCAGCCCTGGAGCACCCATGGAGTCAGCGCCTATGCCTGACTCACCTGCTGGTGCCTGTAGCTGCACCCAAGTCCAAAAGCCATCTCAGGTCCTGTAAGTCCCAGTTTCTGAAAGGGGGCAGCAGGCGTGGCCAGCCCAAGGCACAGCCCTGCCAATGTGTTGATCAATATGCAGGTGTGCTCAGATGTGGCCCCGTCTGCCTTGCTGTGCTTGGTCGCCAGGGACTGGGCCTTTGCAGCTGCTTGGTACGGCCAGTGTGAGCGCAGTGGGCTCAAGGCGTGGTGCGGGCCCAGATGCTGCGTGGTGCGGTAGCACGGCAAGCCGGGCAGGGCCCATGGAAGCAAAACGCCAGCCATGGGCACTGGCTGTTATGGAGCAGCACTGGAGGGGCTCTGTTCTCACTTCTCTCTGCTGATGGATAAATACATAAGGCTGGTGTAGTTGTTCCACCATCGGACGGTGGGAATATGCTGCAGTGAGCTCGGGCTCTCACACACTGCACAGGCGGGCTGCCAAGCATGACTTGCTCCAGACATGGCTTGCTTGCTGCCAAGCATGACCTGAGGAGCGAATGGCCCACCAGGCTGTCCAATGAGAAATAAAACCACTCTGCCTTCAGGTCTGACCAACACCCCAAGTTCTCATGTCAGTGTCAGACACATGACACCTGCCTCCTTAAGGGCCTCATGTGGCAGCTGCCCTCTTGGCTGGCACCAGCGATCAACCAGAGATCTCCAGAGTTGAGGGCCTGAGCTAGGCTTTGGCACTGGGAGCTGCCACCCAAGCTTGCTAGGCAGCTGGATGGGCCTGACCCTAGCTTGGCCAAACAAGGCGCTGCGGAGCAGCACAACAAGCTCCTATTCCTTCCCCCCCCCCCCCCCCCCCGAGGCTAAGCATGTTGATACTGCATCCATCTGAGACCCCACATCAGGTCTGGGGGATCTCAACAGGCGCCAATCCCTGATCTTCCGGTGGCCTGACAGAGCAAGACCCAGTCACTGAGCTGGCCCAACACCCACTGATACTCATGACTAACCCACTCAAAAGACCTGCCAGCAGCATCTTGAAGATGTGGGGGACAATGTTGCATGCTCTGCTACTGCACAGAGTACAAGCTACCTGCCAACCCCATGCTCTGAGCTGTCCTGCCCCATTGTCTCAGAGGCACAGGCAGTGTGTGCTAATGAATAGCGTAGACCTCAGAGCCAGGAACAGCTCAGTTCTAACCCACCACTGATGCTGACTCCCTGTAGCTCTAGCAAAGTAATGTAGTCTCGCTGCTTCATTGACTCTCGGTTTAACAAGGGACTAATGCCCATCTCAGGGGGGTGGGGGGCAGCGTTTCATTAGTGTCTGCAAAGGGCTTTTTAAGTGCTAGAGATGCTGATTTATAAACAGAAGCCAAGTCACGTTCCCCCAGAACCACCCAGTGGGGGCTTCATCCTGCCACGTAGGAAGGGAAGGACATTGTGGAGAATACACTGAAAAGTGTGAAGCTACAAGCAAACACCGCAGCTGTTCTCAGCTCTGTCCTCTGTGATGGTGAAACCTGTTTGCACCATGTACAACATCACCCACCGTGTCACTAATAAAGCTCACCAAACACTGCCTGTGATCAATATGGATGGTTCTGGGGTTGGGGGAAAACAGCCCACCTGGGGCTTGCTGCAGAGTTTACCAGAGCAGGGCAGCGCTGCAGCAACAGGACTCCTGCCCTTGGCTGCAGGTGAAGATGGGCCCAGGCTGTGGGTGTGCCAGTGGCACTAATGGTAACGTGACTGGCCTGGGTTGGAATTAAACCACCAGGGAGAATTTGCACCAGAGGGAACTGTTGCATCTATGCACACGGCTGATTTGGGAACACATTGTTCCTTGTGTAAATAGGTGTTTAAATGGGAATTCTGCTGCTCCTGCTGGTTGTTGGCAGGAAACTCCTTCTCCTAATGGGGGATGCTGAGGGCTTCAGGCACATTAAGATAAATGCTCAACTGCTGGGAAACTCCAGAGCTGCTGGGCAAACCTGCCAGAGCAAAGCAACTAACCAGTGCAAAGTAAAGGACAGTGATTGGAGGCTCTGGCCTGAGTCGCTCCTTGCTTGTCCAGTGCAAACTGGGGGTAGGGTTACCAACTTTCTAGTCACACAAAACTGAACACCCTAGCTCCACCCCTGCCCTGAGGCTGCCCCCCCCCCACTCACTACATTCCCCTTCCCTTGGTGGCTTGCTCTCTCCCACCCTCACTCACTTGCACTGGGCTGAGGCAAGGGGTTGAGATACGGGAGGTGGTGAGGGCTCTAACTGGGGGTGCAGGCTCCGGGGTGGAATGAAATGAGGGATTCAGGGCACAGGCGCCAACTTTTTTTTTCTCCGGTGGATGCTCGTGCCCCCGGCCCCGCCCTTGCCCTGACTCCACCCTGCCCCAAAGTCCCCGCCCTATCTCCGCCCCCTCCCCACCCCTATTGGATCCCTCCCTAAATCCCGGCCCCGCTTTATCCCACAAGCACGCCACATTCCCCCCCTCCCTCCCAGGCTTGCCGCGCGTAACAGCTGTTGGGAGGGAAGGGGGAGAAGCAGGACGTGGCGGTGCGCTCGGGAGGAGGCAGAGCGGAGGCGGAGGTGAGCTGGAGCGGGGGGGGGGGGCAGGGAGCTGCCGGTGGGTGCTGCAGCCCTGGAGCACCCACGGAGTCGGCGCCTATGATTCAGGGTACGGGATGGAGCTCGGGGCTGGGGCAGGGATTTGGGCTGTGGGAGGGGGTGAGAGCTCCGGCTGGGGGTGTGGTCTCTGGGGTGGGGGGCTGGGGATGAGGGGTTTGGGGTGCAGGAGGGTGCTCCAGGTTTGGGGGTTGGGGCTCAGGGTTGGGGCATGGGCTTATCTCAGGTGTCTCCCAGTCAGTGGGGCTAAGGCAGGCTGCCTGCCTCTCCTGGCACTGTGCTGCATGGTGCCCAGGAAGCGGCCAGAAGGTCCAGGTCCTAGGTGGGGGGGAGCAGGAGGCACCGCCCCCCCAAGCTCCCATTGGCTGGTTCCCAGTGCTTGGGGCGGGGGCAGCGGCACACGGAGCCCCATAGCCTCCCCCCCCACACACCTAGGACCCGGACCTACTGGCAGCTTCTGGGGGCACCGCGTAGCACAGTGCCAGGATAGGTAGGGACTAGCCTGCCTTAGCGCTGCAGCACCAACCGGACTTTTAACAGCCCAGTCGGCGGTGCTGACCAGAGCCGCGAGTCCCTTTTCGACAGGGTGTTCCGGTCGAAAACCGGACACCTGGTCACCCTAGGGCCACACACACCACTGACCCCAGTGGAGAGTCTCTGGTGAAACCCAAAAGCAATGAGACTAGCTGGGCCCTCCATACACTTGATGAATGGCAGGGCCAGGCATGGAGGCTGGGTCAAGGCTTCATAAATTCCAAACTGATTTTCCCTGGTAACCTAAGTCCAGCAGATGAGTCCAGGTCTCCAGAGCCGAACAGCCAATGGAAGACCAACCCACAGAGCCTCATGGCAGTAGCAGCCTTTCTTCAGTGTCCAGGAGGAGTAGAGATTTGGTGCTGAACCTCCTGCAGCTGGGGTGGAGGGCGAAGGTGGGTCGATGACCATCAAGAGGGGAGGCACTATTGCAGCACAGGGCTCTGGCTCTGGAGCTCAGAGATCTGCCAGAGAACAGCCAAGGCTGTAGTGTCAACCTGGCGCAAAGCCATCGCTGCAGCTTAGCTCTCCCTCCTCACAACCCACAGACACCCAGCACACCTGCTCACAGTACACCCACACAGAGCGCACACCCATTCCCAGCACACCCACACAGAGCGCACACCCACTCCCAGCACACCCACACCCAGCACACCCACTCAGAGTGCACACCCATTCCCAGCACACCTGTTCCCAGCACACCCACTTAGAGCATACCCAAGCCCAACACACCCAGCACATCCATCACCACACACACACACACACGCTCAGCTGAGAGAACCTTACAGGCAGACAAGCACTCACCCAACACTGTCCTCTGGGTCCTTTCCAAGCAAGGACAAAGCCACTGCAGAGCTACTCCTCTGCCCCACTGGCAATGGGACCAAAGGCTGAGCCCAAAACATCAGCATGGGCACGTCATCCCCACCCTGTGCTGGGAGGAGG